TGTGTGTGTGTGTGTGTGTGTGTGTGTGTGTGTGTGTCCTGTCTATACCTCTGTCTCTTACCTTCTCTTGCCTCCACACACAGCATCTATCTTGGATTTGTTAGCCTTCAGAACCATGGACCAGTTTTCTGTGGAGCCACAAAGAGTTCAGATCACCAGAAGACAGATTTTTCAGGAACTAAAAAAAAAAAGAGAAAGAGACTGAACTTCCATTCCCCCCTTCCCCTCTAGCAGAATAAAATAGGCATTATTATTGCTGTGGGTATATATGTGATTGCATGACCAATGTAATTCTGCAACCTGTTCACTCAGAAAAATGAGAAATTATATCCCATCTGATTCAAATGTATGAAATGTCAAGATCATTGAACGGTCATGTGTAACTAATTAAAACAAATTTTTAAAAAATGAAAAAAAAAAAAGAAGAAGAGACTGAGCTATGCACAGTCCCTCTCTCAGATGTTCCTCGGGGGACTCGCTTCTCCCCACCAAGAGAGTGAAAATCATGAGAGAAGCTTCCAGGATAGCCCTTGTGCTTCCCTCTGGGAATGGGAGTAGACAGCCCTTCTCCATGGAGGCAGGAGGAAGGCAGAACCCCTTCCTGACAGCACAGCACCCTAGTCCCCACGTTCACATGATGTCTTTAGAGACTCTCTAGCAAAACCTTCCCTCAAATGTGTACTAACAATAGTTAGGGAGGCAATCTGCATCACTAAGTCTTCCAAAGATACCCAAAGGTGATGTCAACCTCATCTGGACACACCCAGTGATACTGGATCAATTGTCTGTGCCCAGTCACATGAATGCATAGAATCACTCTCACAAATAAATAGCAATCTTTTGCCTTTTAAAATTTGCTGTAAGGAGCAATTTAAGTTTTTAGTAAAATCTATTGATTTTTCTCTTCTAATATTTTTGTATGTCACATATATTAAAATTTCCTTTCTTAGAACTGAAATTTAATTCATTACATTTTAGCAGGTTTCCAATTACACATACATATTGACTTATATGGTTATTTATGTGTACACACACTGTTAATTTGATTTACTTGATATTTATTTTGAAACATGGCATGAAGTGTCTTGACTTATCAGAAATGTTCTATCAAGGATTTTTTTATTATTTTATTTCCATTATAGACTGTGTTGCCAAATATTTACTGAAGGCAATAGTCAGAGAGATATTTGAAATTACATATGAAGTATGAAAATATGGTGAATTGCCCAAAAAGAGTGATTAAAGATTATCTGCAAGAGATAAGTTAAAAATATCACACCAAGATACTTTTCTTCTCCTGGTTTGTTCAATGAACTAACTTCCATCCTCTTTGAAAGTCTTGTAGAACTCGGCTGAAATCCATCTGGTCTTGGGCTTTTCTTAATTGTTAAGTTTTTCATAGTGTCTTCTATTTCATTGCTTGAAATTGATCTGTTTAAATTGTGTATGTCTCCTGATTCAGTTTCAGTAGGTCTATGTCTCTAGAAATTTGTCAATGTCTTCAAGATTTTCTATTTTATTGAAATATAAATTTTCAAAACAGTTTCCGGTTATCTTCTGTATTTCAGTAGTATCTACCATGATATTTCCTTTTTCATCCTAAATTTTAGTAATTTGGGTTTTCTGTTTCTTTCTCTTCATTAGCATGGTTAAGGGTTTATCAATTTTATTTATTTTTTCAAAGAACCAACTCTTTGTTTTGTCAATTTTTTAAATTGTTTCTTTTGCTACAATTCCATTGATTTCAGCTCTATTTTAATTATTTCCTATCTTCTACTGCTGTTGGTGTGGGTTTGTTCTTTCTCTAGGGTTTTGAGACATAATTTAGGTCATTTATTTGTGGATTTTATGTTCTTTTAATGAATTATATTAATGCAATGAACTTTCCTCTTAGCACTACCTTCAGAGTGTCCTAGAGATTTTGATACATTGTATCCATGCTCTCATTTTCCTCCAAGTATTTTTTTAAAATTTCAACCCTGATTTATTCTGCTATCCATTCATCGTTCAATAGTATATGATTTAGTCTCCAGGTGTTAGACGAGCTTCTACTTTTTATGTTATTATTGATTTCGAATTCATCCCTTTATGATCTGATAGAATGTAGCGTATTATCTCTATTTTTTTGTATTGGCTAAGAGTTGTTTTGTCACATAAGAGATGGTCTACTGTAGAGAAGGATCCATGTGCTGCTGAAAAGATGGTGTAATCACTCATTGATGGATAAAATATTTTAAATATGTCTAAAGGCAATGCTTAAGCTTCCGTGGAAGAAATTGTGTTCCTTGATATCTACTGTAAAATGAGACATGACTTCTTGTTCTAGGAATCCTGATGGTTCTAGAAACAAATATCACAGAATAAGGTGATACTTTGGATCCTGATTGAGGGATAGAGAAGGGACAAGGAAGGGGAACTAGCAAGTCAAAGAATATCCTGAAAGATTTCTGTAAACAGAACTAACTCAACCATTCCCACACTGCACTGTTAGTGTTTGGAATAGGGAATATGTCCACTTATTCAATGAATCCTCTGTGCACACAAATGAGAGGCTCTTCCCCCATAACCTGTAGGCTGTTTTTATTTCATGATTAGACTTTTAATTAACAATTATGATAAACAATTTGTAGCCACAAGCAGGTCATGTGCCATGCCACCAGACTGCCTTCACTTGCTCAGAGTTAATAATGTATTTTATTTCATTGTGGCAGCATTTTACAGTTTATGCATATGTCCTCAAACTGTGCCCTTTAAATACATATGATTTTCATCAGTTGTACATCAATAGAGCTGGATTTATTTTATTTTTATTTTTTTATTTTTTATTTTTATTTTTATTTTATTTTTTTTGCTGTGTGTTTAAATTGTGTATGTCTCCTGATTAAGTTTCAGTAGGTCTATGTCTCTAGAAATTTGTCAATGTCTTCAAGATTTTCTATTTTATTGAAATATAAATTTTCATCCATCCTGGAGAAGCACCTCTAAAGAGAGACACAGAAGCTTCGAGTGAGTTGGTGGAGTTTTTTATGCTTGTTTGAGGGCCTTTGTTAACAGAAAATATCACTGCTTGTGAAATGCACAGTGCAGATGAGTAGAGCCCACTAACTCCCCTGAGGATCCGCGGCGTGTTGGGAAAGTAGAGCAGAACCAAAGGCAGGTATTGGAAAGAACTTCACGGGCCTTTGTTATCTTTATACTCTAAGATTGCAGCCTGTGCAACTCATTTATTAAAATGAAGCTTCCTCAGTGAATCTGGGTCATATCACTATAATATCAATAGGCATATCAGTCTCCTATATTGTGAAAATCCACAGATTTGTTTCCTTTTCCCCTCACTTGTGTTGGTGTATCACCAACCTCTTTAATCTATTGTAAATTAACCACTGAATACTTTTAACTGTGTTCAGAATCCACATCAAAGGGCTCCAGTAATCTGAAGATTTTAGGGTTATTCTGGGTTTCCCCCTGTGCTGATTGTTATTCAACTACAATACCTGAAGGAAAGGCAAGGAGAAAGGGGGTAATTTGCATCCTGGAGATAACTAAAATAGAAAAATTACCTACAGAGACACAGAGGAATCATCATCCCCCGAATTGAATCATACTTTGGAGAAAAGTTGATTAAAGGGTATAGGTTCCGGTTAGACAAAAGGGTAGAGTTTCGAGGTGTTGTATGACATGCAACTATAGATAATGATGATATGTTATATATTTCAAAATTGTGAAGACAGTTCATTTCAAATATTCTCACCACAAAAGATAAGTATGTGGGGGTGATAGATTTGTTAACAAGCCTGAGTTCATTGATCTATAATATATATGTGCATATAGATATATAATGCATAAATGTCACATTGTACCCATAAATATATACAGTTACTATTTATAAATTAAAAACCTTTAAAAATAGACAAATTAGAAGCAATAAAATTAAAGTTATCATTAGAATGATATAATCAACGAAATTTAAGAGGATGTTCTAACACCATAGTAATGGTTATAAGTGAACAAAGGCAGTCAGGTTGACCAGAAGAGCACACAGGTGAAGTTTATTGGCATCTGGGAAGTCTTGACTGGCTGTCACCACCACAACCTTCCAACAGGGAACGACACAAAACCACATGGATTGAACCCGTGCCAAGGGCAGTGAACTTGGGGAAACCTGGGGTGAAGAAGAGTCTCAAGAGCGAATGACTACAGAGAAGGACATTATTTTTTAAATGCTTTTCCAGATTATTATCCAAAACAAATCACTGAGTGCTATAAATATACTTTAATACTAGCTATTAGTTCTTCTTTAACTTAGGAATAGGCCAAATACCTAGGGAGTTCACAAAGTATTACCTATGTCGTAATCTGAAGTACAAAAGCAGTTTCAGATTATTCATCGATATGCATCAGTTTGCATTAAGTGTGTTACATTCGATATATCTGTAGAAACAATCTAACATCCAGGATGCCTTCAGCTGCAGCCTCCCATATCCACAGGCCTTTCCATCGGACACCACTACACTGAGCCATGTCAACTCAATGTCTTGTTGTTTTTTTGTTTTTTTTCAAGTTCAATTATTTACATCAAAACACCTGACCAGTTTAGCTAAGATAAATGTGGGAGATTGGCAATACACTGACCCCAGAAATTTGGGATGTCAAAACAAACCTCCCCAAGTCTATTTGTGTGCAGAACCCCCAGATCTCTTGGAACCAGAATACAGACCCTGAGTATCTCAGGGTACTGTTCCCCGAAAGGCTGCCTCAGGCTCTCACGGGGAGAAGGAGATGGGATACTGGACACGCTAAATATGCAGGAAGTCTCCTGCGTGTGAGGGTAGACCAAGACACGGAGCATCCAGAGAGTTGTATC